ATCACTGGTCCAACATGCTTTGTTGCATTCGAAAGAAAGCAACGCAAGGGAGAGTACTTTGGGTTGCCACGCAGCTTGGTTGAGTGCTGGCTTGGAGGAAAAGCGAATCGACGGAGGCAAGACCTGACTCTCGACTCACGACTCTCGAGGCATAGGAAACACATGCGAGCACCCAAGCCCCTGGTCCGCCCTATCGTAGGTTTTGTCTGTGGGGTTGCGAAAGGTAAATTGGATGTGCCATTCTCGCTCCTGAGTGGGAGACGAGCGACCCACTACCGGGGTGGAGATGATGGCAGAAATAACCCGATTGTTTGATGATGACGAGGCAAAACGAGAGAAAAGCCAAATGGCATTGCTGGGGTCTGTGCTAGGCGAGGGCAGCTGCCAGCCAGCCGGAGGCATACTGTGTGCATCCGAAAGGTATCGGTAAGGTAAGGTACGCAATAAGGCCTGTCGATTTGGCGAGGTACCCCTGAGCTGAATGGAAGGATGGAAGAAAAGAAGGGGGTCGAAGAAGTTTGAGAGTTGGATGCATTCGTACAGTATTACTTTGCGTCTGCATGGCGGCGGGCTGAGGGTGATGATGATGGGCAGCGGAGGTGACAGCGGTAGCGGGTTCAAGTGATGAAAGATGGTCCCCTATTCCCCTTTTCGTCCATTGATGATGCATTGCTTGCAGATTGGTCTGACAACGAGCGGGATGTTTGTCTGCATTGTCGAGGGCCCATTTGTAGATTGCGTTGATGGTGTTGAGACTCGAGGGCAGTGGCCTTGTGGTGCTCCGTCGGCGTTGACAAGCTGCCAGCCGCAAACTGTCGATGGCATGAACCCAGTACGAAGGTCAGCCGCAGGGCCTCAGCATAAGGTAAGATAAATTGGGAAGAGGCAGAACAGGGGACGTAACGGATGGGGAAAAGCATAGTAGGAAGTTGAATGAGGTTGCACTTCACGTCCATACGAGTGCCTTATTCACATTGAAGAAGGTGCGGTGTCGTGGTAGGTACCTCTTCTTGTGGTGTATGGAGAAGGGACATGATGTACACCTGTTGGGAGGCACCAGAGGCAGGTGCAAGGCCGCGTCTCTCTCAGGTTACTGGCATTTGCCATTCTAATCACTTACCTCGTGCGAGCCGCTGCGTCTATTCTTGCCTTGAGAATCTGTCCAGGAGAAAATGACGCCGTCACGTCTTTCATTCTTTCTTTCTCAAGCTAAGGTATCCATAAGAGATGCATAGGAAATGGAACGCGCAGGAAAAACGGTTGCTTCAAGCCTAGGTAGAGCTCGTAAGATGGTCACAACCCCTGGAGGTCGGCGGTGGCCCAACCGGCAGCACAGAGACGATCGCCGCCGACTCCAGGTTGAGCAGGCCCAGCAGTGTGGAGCAGAGACAGGGACGCTGAGCACTGGAGTCCCCTTCCACTTGCCGAAGAGACAAGATCGGCCTCGCACTGTCTGAACTGTGTACACCGTGCATCGGTAAGGCACAGCAAGAGAAGTCGGTGGCAGGCACAGTTCAAGGTGCCTCGACATATTGAACATCGTCACGGCAGGTACCAGCCAAGGCAGGAGAGGGAGGATGGGAAAGAGAAAGAGAGGGAGTACCTTACCTACGTAGTAGGACGTGGGGCGAAGCAGAAAGAGAGAGAAAAGGGCGAGGAAGGTACAACAGCAGGGCAGGGGCGAGTGGAGAGCTCCAAGACAACAAGGGAAACCTGGAAGGGGGCAGGCCGCACGCACCCTCGTACCTACCCATAATCGGTTCATGCTCTTTCCATGCGGCAACACCAGCCCGAACCGACCTGAAAAGTACGTTGCCACGTCTGGATGGGTACTGTGGTACCTTACCTTAGCATGATTGTCGTCTGTCTCCACGGACCAAGTACCCAAGTATCCAAGTGCCTTGCAAAAGTGCTGAGCGTGAAGTGTGTTGTAAAGTATACTTGTACCCCCGTACCCATGTACTGCCGTACCTTACCTCGCACCCCCGTTCGTTCCTGCTTCAGCGTCCATGGCCCCCAGTTGTCCCAGCTAAACCGTTCGTTTCAATTCACCAAGCTTCCGCACTTGGGATCTCACTTGACCTGACTTGGGGGGAGGGTGCGCTCTCTGGTTCTCGACATGTCATGTACCTTCTCTTCTTGTTCCAAGACTGACGATACGTGCGTGTTGCGTGTGTGCGCAAGTCCATGTGTGAGTGTGATGTGTGAGGATACCGTCTGTACCTTACGAATACAGACGGAAGATATCTGAGGTTTGTGAGATGTGCGTAAGGTAGGTACTGATACGTGTGATTGTGTGGTGGGAGCAATGGGCCAAGCAGCAAAGGTACATCGTCGCCCAATTTGTATGCTAGAAAGATATTCATATTACACGTTGTCCTCTTTCCTCTTTTTCCAATTTCTCATGTCCATAGTCTGGTCTGTCTACCTCTTTTCGTACCTGCGTATCCGAACGACATTGTTCGATTCATAAGATTAATAAGGATTCCGACGCCAACCCTCTATCCATCCATCCATCCCACCCATCCAGCAAGTTACAACAACCCAAAAGCCAAACCAGTCATACATACCCTACCGTACGGATACTTTGTGTACCGACTCGATTCGACGACTCGACGTATCGACCCCATTCTTTTTTCTCACCGATCCGTTTTACTACGCAAACCACACCAGTCCCTCAGGTGCAGGAACAGGAGTAGGAGCAGGAGCAGCAATACGGACAGGCCCAGCAACAGCAAGCTGTATCCGTACTGCGTGTGCGTGCCGTGCCCCTACATCGCACACCCCTCCCCCCCCCTCCCCTTCCTTCCATTATTCCTTCCTTTCTTCCATCTCCCCCCCGGTCTCACTAAAAGGATCGTCTCCGTGGTTGACATTTTTATAACACCTGCCGAACCCCGTCCGTCCGTCCCTGTCTGCGCTCCGCTTGCTGCGTCACAGCTTCTTTTCCCTTCACCTTTCCCCCTTGCTCTTTCCCATACAACGCACAGCACACACAACCCTCGACCCTCGACCCTTTGCACGCCAACGCCAACGCCAACGCGCCAACTCGCAACCCCAACGCCAAAAAGTCAAGGGCCGACCTTACACCACCACCTTGCTCCCTCCTCTCACCTTGACTTCCTTCTCCATACATATTCATACCCTTCCTCTGCCTCTGTAGCACCGACAAAACTCAAGTCAACCGTGCTTTCTTTTTTCTTCTTCATTTTTGTCCCATTCCTCCATTTCCTTGCGACGGGCAACGTTCCCATCTCCAACCCCCAGAAAAGAAATCCCCCTACGCCTACCGATACCCATCCTTAAGATACCCATTGCTCTCACTCTCTGCAGTAAGTGAAGCTTCATTTTTTTTCTTCCTACTATCCCTATCCTTCTTTTGCATTCGCATTCCCCATCCCTTGCCGTCTACACCTCGTCATTGCGCTTCAAGGTCAATTTCGAGTCTCAGCCCAAAGCTTCCCTTTCAACCTTTGCAACACTTCCATATGTTGCTTTATTTCCGGCTTCACCTTGCTTCCGCTCGTTAGTCAAACAGTAGCACTGAAATCTTTTGTCATCGCGTCTTCCATTCTTGTGGCTATGCCCGCGGGCTTGTTGGCCGGTTGCTGCACAAACGATACGTACCCTGCACCTACACCTGCCGCGCCTCCTGGCTGTGGCTGCCCTGGCGTCTCCTGCCAGGTGCTGCTGCTTCAGCAATTTTTCCCGCGCTTTTCCTCAGAGACCCACTTTTCCTTCCCTAACCCTGCCGGACCGTCTGCACCCCCGATCAAGGTTTCTTGGCCCCTGTTACCTCATCTCTCGTCCGAGACCTCCTACACGCGAACTTTGACAAACACCCACCCTATCTCTCTTGACACAACTGGTCGAGCCCTCGGTCCGGAGGCACCAGTCTTTTTTTTCTCTTCCTCTTCACTCATCCTTTGGCTTTCGCACATGCTCTGCTGTGCATGCCACATCAACTTTTTCTCTCGATTGTCCACTGTTAGATGCCGACGAGATCACTAACCAGTGGCGCGTCATCTAGGTCATATTGACTGAGCCGCCCTCTATACCTTGACTATCCCTCTCATTCTCCTTTTCCGTCACCTGTCGGCTCAACCACGCATATCCGAAAGAAAGGCATCCTCATTCTTTCCTCAAATACGACGAGCGGTCAGCATACGTCTTGACCCCGCGACTTCCCGGCGTATACGTGGTGGGCTGTGCCTTCGACAAACAAATTTTTCTGTTGCGCCACGTCACGATCCTGAGTTGTGACGACGCCGGAGATCGCTATATATCTCGGAATACCAAACTACAACCGCCCAAACGAGCGTCCCGGTCAGAGATCCGATTGATCATCACATCGTCACTTCAGTACGGTCGAGGCGAAGCTCAAGTCTAGTGGATAGCCTGACTTCGAGAACGAGCAACATACTGGTCTGTGATCTGTGATCGGTCTGTCCCGGATTCCATCCACCATCCGCACAAGGTAAGCCTGCGAGCGAAACCCGTCAGTCTGATTCAAATAGCCCGCAGCCAGGTGCTCCTGGCACATCTAGTCATGCCACAACCCAACCCAGGCTACCCCCGCCCTTGACAACTCTACACAACCCTGCCTGCGGACGCTGCTCAAACGCTCCCACTCGTGGCGATGTGTTGCCCCCCAAAAACCTCGCCCTTACACATATCCCTTATTCAGAGCCTTTGCCCCTCGGAAGATCACCACGCTAACAACCTTCTCTCTAGACAGTGCAGTCTTTATAAACTCAAAGTCACCTTCGTCTGACGCGGAGAGTCGTCCGAAAACATATTTCAAGCTGGCTATCCACGCAGGGATCCCGACTATTGCTAGCGATTTTCTTCGCCGTAATATGAGGTCGCCTATTCCGGGCGAGGTAATGGACATTGGCAACTTGATGAATCAAAGAGGTGCCGCCGCTATGCAACACATTCACAACGGAACTACTCCCGAACGTCAAATGCATCAACTCCCCCAACTCACCGCAAGAAACATGCCCGAACCACCTATGGACCGTGCCGGTTCTCCCCACGGCTCCGAATACTCTCAACACTCTCGTCATACAATGGAAGGCGTCCCGCGTTCCTACCCATCACCCAGCGCCATGGTCGGCGCTCCTATGCAGATGCAGATGCCTGTCTCCCACATGGGACCTGGCCCTGTGATCCTGCCCGGAATCCCTCAGCACGATATGTCTCAGGGCATGCCTCAGTACAAGGCGCCCGAGCAGCAGGCACCTCAGCAGCCCACCAAGGCTTACCCGTGCAGCACATGCGGCAAGGGCTTTGCTCGCCGAAGTGATCTTGCCCGTCACGGTATGTTGCAAATGAGGATCTGTAATACTTGATCGCTGACTTTCGACTTCCAGAACGTATCCACAGCGGAATCCGCCCTCACGTTTGCGATTTCCCCAACTGCGGAAAGCAATTCATTCAGCGATCTGCTCTTACTGTCCATCAGCGAGTCCACACCGGAGAGAAGCCTCACATGTGTGAGCGTTGTGGCAAGGTAAGCTGACTCCCCAATAAGGAATTCTCTTCTGTGTGCTAACATATCTTAGCCTTTCAGTGACAGCAGTTCCTTGGCACGCCACCGTCGTATCCACTCCGGCAAGCGTCCTTACAAGTGCCCGTACGCCGATTGTCAGAAGACGTTCACTCGCCGTACTACCCTCACTCGGCACCAAAACCACCATACCGGTACGGTAGAAGAGGCCGCTGCGGCCACCGCTGCTGCTCTGGCTGCTCGTGGAGCTACTGGCAAGCCGAACACGACCCGTTCTGACGGAGATGCCATGTCCAACCGCGGATCGCCTCTTACGACGCCTTCGCCTGGCCAGCGGACTCTCTCAATGTCCCCCAGTGCCGACAGCATGCACCGTGCAAACTCTGAGTTCCAGTACATGGGCAACAGCTCTCTTCCGGTTCACCTGCAGCGAGACATGCACGTTGGCAGCCCGGCATCGACATCTTCCGGGGGCTACAACACTGGTATGCGACCTACCTCGCACCCTACCAGCTACGGACCACCTCCGACACTCGAGCCCAGTGTCGAGCAGCACTCTGGCCCCGGCAGTGCTGGCGGTAGCCCTCACATGGGTTCCGTCGGATGGCAGTCTCCATCGCACGTGCCGTCGCCCTCGCACAGCAGCAATGGCTACACTTACCCCGACCCCGACGCCTACCCCTCTGCGCCTTCGCTCGGTGGCCAGATGTTCTACGGCAATCCAGCTCAGGTCCGCCGCCCTCAGAGCACTGAGCCTCCCGCTGGCGCCTATGATATTAAGGGCCGTCAAGGCGAGCTTTGGGCAGGTGCTCACTAGGAACGGCACATGTAACACTATCGCCAGCAGACACTCCTGAAGTCCTTTTGGGGTTATCAGCATGCGGATGGCTGGAAAGATTTCCTTGGTGTGGATTCATCTTCTTCTTTTTGCGGTACGAAAAGTTTGTGCATGGCAAAGGTGGGGACGGTAAATAACATACAACTTTAATATTGCGGGCTGCACCGGGACAAGGTCAGGAAGATACCAAGGGGCGGGCAGTCATCCGGTTCGTTTTACAACCGCCTTTTCTTTTGTTATCATAGACTGGCGGGAAGCACACACTTCATGATGGCTGGGTCTCCATGGGCATTGGCTGGAGGCAAAAAAGGTTGGGAGGAGTTCCCAGACAGGACACGGCGTGCGCTTGAGCAGCACGCCGACGGGATTGGCGGAGACTCGCTCGATAAAGGAACGTGCCTCTTTTTTTTTTTTTTTCTCTTTTCTGATATGCAATGTTTTGTATGCAACACTGTACTCTGTACTAGACAATGAATGCGCGTAGCAATCTGTTTCTCTCCTCAATCGTACTACTTGTCACTGGTGCATGCATGTTTCTCCTGGGTTGGAAAACGAGAAAGACGACGGAGCTAGAGCCGTAAGTTGACTGGGAGAGCTTGAGGACCGATCTCATAATGGTCAGTGTGCGCATGCATTTCTGCTTGCCGTGTGCGGCGTGCCTATGCATCATCAGTGGAGGTGGGAATTAATCTAGCTCCCGTTGGAGGGCGATCCGGGGTTGGCGTGTGTGTCCCACTCCCTAACGCACGCTGCACTTGGCGGTTGATTGATTGACCAATTCCCAGCCGAGAAAAAAAAAATGTCGCCAATTTTGTTAAAAGGTACTACAAGGCGAACAGGTTGGGTGTTGCGCGTTCGTTGTCACGTTTTCTGAAAAGTTAGGCAGGTGTTATGAAATGATTGGTAGATGTTAGTTGTGCATACTTTTTTGGTTGTGCTTGTACACACATGCGCGCACCTTCTCTCTCGTTCACTACTTGTTGTCTCTTACTCATCACACATCCATCCTTCCTGAGGCTGTGAACCTACATTCAATGAGAAATCTTTGTGGGAGGTAAGTGGGTTGACAACATAGGATGCTGGTCCAAGGCGCCCCTGCTTATAATCCATGCCATTACTGTAATTACGTACTGCGCTCTTGGAAGCGTGTCTCCGAGAGATGTATAGGCGATAAAAAGTGGTAATAATAGTAATGTGATCGCAGCAGCAGTGATAGGTATAGTAGGAACAGTGAAATTGGAGCCAAGGTACCGAGTGGCATTACATCGTGTTACCCATTTGGAAGGGTGCTTGTCGACAGGCAGCGTGTGAGTTATGGTGTGAATTCGAGTTCGGTGTCAAATAAGAGGTCTTTCAGTCGGATTTTGTCGCAAAAAATCCAGGCCTCGAGATCTACTACCCTATTAAAGCACCTACCCAAAAGTGGCTATCGTCGGTGCCATCCGGGCAAAAGATGCCTCTACGCGAGATTAAGAACGGATATGGGTGAAATAGTTGAGGGAGGCAGGAACAAAGTTGGGAGAGAGTGAAAGTCCAGGTCTGGGTTATATGTACGACAACAATGATGACGAAGGAAAATGGTTGGTGGTAAAGCATCTATGAACCAGGATCGGAACCGAAGCGCCAAGGCTTACGAAACGAATCCGAGGCGATTTTCTCTCTCTCATCGTCCTCTTATTTCCCTATCCGTACCTTTTTCTGTTCACGTACCATGTAATCAGAAATGATGATATAATCAGAAAATCATAAAGCCGGAGGGGGAAGCGAGGCACATGGCGTTTGTTGTCCCGAGTTCCGTTTTCAAATCAACTTGCGCCTTTCCGAGTTCTGTGGTAAGCCGCGCGGGAAATGATTAGTGAACTTGCACTTGTTCCCTGGGCCAATTTTCTTTGGATCTCGACTCTTGAGTGGCCTTGCGTGTCCATGGTTCAAGTCAAACGTGAGGGGGAAGCCGGCGGGATCCGGTGGGATCTGACATTTCCATTGTTGAATCCGAAAGGCTGATGCGAGATAAGTCAGGTTTTTGATGATTTTGATGGTTCTTTTTCCTGGCCATAATGTTATGAATCAAAGGTGGTGATGCCGTGACGGCCTATGTTCGAGTACCTCGGGTTTCGGGGCTGGTTGGGTAGAGAGAATAGACACGCCCACATCGCACCGGAGAAAGTGGTCATTGTTCTTTGGATTAGTAGTCGATAAAAAGAGAAGAAGACAAGAGCCCGATGATGAGGGTGTGTCTCGGGAGAGGGCGAGGACGAAGGAAAGGATTATGTATTATTGTTCCCAGTCCTCTTTACTGTTGGCCCGAAGGTGACACATTCGAGAAGGAGAGAACACAAGGAGGGGGGAAAGTGGTCCGTCCTCGCTCTTCTCGCGTTTCTCAGGAGCGCATTTGTTGGTTGATCAATCGTTTAGCCGCGCTGAGCAAGCAACGAGCCCGTTGATTAGTATTCATGTCAACGCATTCGTCCCTCAGACCTTGTGTCTTCAATTTTTTAGGTAGGCAGGCTTGGCAGGGTACTTGGTTCTCCTGCCTCGTTTCCAAGGATTTTTTCCCAACCTAACCCACGCGCCCACCACCATCCATACGCAAACACATGTGCACACACACCATATGCCAATAATGTGGGATTAGACTGGTGGTGCAAAGCCATGAGATGACGGGGACCACGGGCAAACCACCTATTATATATCCCCAAGATCGCCGCAACTTTTGTCAGAAAGTTGGCGCAGATTGTGGAAGGAAACTTTAATACCCACACCTTCTTCTATTCTTTCTCTTTCCCCCCTTTCTCTCCCCTACGAACTGTACCCTTGCTGCCCTTGACGTTCCCGAAGAATTCCAGAAGGGTGCAGCAAGCTCAGTTTAACCCAAACAGAGTTTTTGATACAGGAACTGTCAAGTTCAGCCTTGGATTGACAAACTGGACCGATCCTTTGAGGCTTACACAATTCGCCCTAAATACGCCCTTGGCGGGTGCCGAGAGACCACGACAGACGGCATAAACGACGCCTTGGTCTGTTTCTAATCACTCGTTTACTCATCAGTCTCAAACAGCCAAATGCTTGTATTCTCATAATCGACAGAACCCATCATATTTGTTTCCCCCAAACGGTCTACCATCGTATGGGCCTATCCTTAAGGAACACTACACCGCGCGGCCAACTTCATTCATCTCACCCTTCAGAGTCACAAACACAAACCCTTTGTCAGTATAAGTCAAGACTCGACGACAACAACAAAAACCACGAGGGTCATCATCCATCGGAATAACAAAGAATGACGGTCATCAAAATCGAGGCCGTCACGGACCTGCTATGTCCGTGGTGCTACGTCGGCAAGAGGAACCTCGACCGCGCAATCTCACAATACCGCGCCGTGGACCCGACTACCGAGTTCGAGGTCGCATGGAAGCCGTTCTACCTGAGCCCGGCGTTGAAGAGTACCGGTGTGTTGTAATTTTTAATTTTTTTTCATATCTTTTTACTTCTCCTTTTTCTTGAAATGTAGAACATGTCTTCCGCCTCATGTAAGTTGCTACAGGGGGGAGAAACTCTCACATTTATGCTTCTTAACCCCGTCACTTACACCCCCCCCCCCCCCCAAAAAAAAAACTCGCGACAACCTCATTCCCCATTTCATCCTCTTACAGCAACCACCAACCATACATAATCCCAATATCAAAGACATAAAGAAAACAAGATTTCTCTTACTAACATGACCTTCAAAAAAGGCTACGACAAACGCGAAATGTACACAACCCGCTTCTCCCTAGCAGGCGACCTGCCCACCGCACTATCCCGCATAACCACCGCCTGCTCCCAAACCGGAATCGCCCTCAACGTCACAGGCCGCACCGGCAACTCGCGCCAATCCCACAAACTCCTCCGCCTCGCCCTCGTCTCCCGCGGCCCCCGCGCCCAAGACGCCCTCCTCGAGGCCTTATTCAGAGGCCACTTTGAACTCGGCGCAGACATCTCGGACCGCGCCTACCTCGTCAAGACGGCCGCGGAGGCAGCGGGCTTGAGTGAGTCCGACGTCGAAGCCGCGCTCGACAGCGATCGCGCGGGGGAAGTTGTGGATGAGGAGGTGATGAGCGCGAGGAAGGCCGGGGTCACGGGCGTGCCGACGTTTACGGTGCAAGGGAGGTGGAGGGTTGGTGGGAATCAGGAGCCGGATGTGTTTTTGAGGGTGTTTGAGAGGGTTACGGAGGAGTGTTGATTCTTTGGTGTTTTGTTCTTTTTTGTTCTTTCCCCGTGAGAGGAATTTCCGTTCTCTGAAGCCACGATGAGAGGAATGAGGATGATGAGAGAAGGTGAGAGGGGTTGGCGGCATAATCTGTCTATTGGTTCGGTTCTTGATCTATTCTCACATTGAGTTTTCAGCGATATGGCATTGCGGTGGTAATAACATCATTTCCCGTAGCACAGCGTCAAAGAATGCAGTCATGTTGGATATTCATCATTCTTCTGTCCTTCGTTTTTGGGGGTAACTCTCTTAGTTCTCTACCTCCTGCATAAGAAATGCTTGTTCTTTGTATCGACTGCGGCACAAAAGCTCACTGTGAATCTGCCCATCCGTCTATAAGGGGAAAAGAACTAGACACGAAAAAAGGATAGCAATACCTGTCCCGGGTCTTTTGCCAAATGAACTGTGTCCGTCCGTTCGTCGTCTCTCTCCGCCCTCCTAACCCAAAACGCCGTTTCGAAGATGCATTTCCCTGTATATAAACACTGGGTAGTTCGTGTCTACCGCTTCACCATATGGCTGTAATCCTTGAGCAAATGCTCCATGTGCGTATTGGTCGTCTTGCCGGTACGCCTAACAGCCCGCTTCTTCTGCTGCTTCTTGGAGTCGACCTTTTTGATCGTGCTAGGGTCAGCGCTGGCCGGCTTCTGGCCCACGGAAACAAGCTTCTTGACAATATCGTCGGTAGAGGGGACCTCGACAACGTTCCACATGCGCTTAAACTCGTCGT